CTCCTACTGCTCTCTCCTCGTCTGACCATGTGTTCTCGCATACCCCGAGAGCATCTGGTCAGAGGGGTGGTGGCACAGGAATCCTCATCTCTCCCAAGTGGACATTCTCCATTTTTCCCCTAACCCATCTGTCTATCTCCTCATTTGAATTCCATGCTGTCACAGTCACTAGCCCATTTAAGCTTAATATCCTTGTCATCTATCGCCCTCCAGGTTCCCTTGGAGAGTTCATCAATGAGCTTGACGCCTTGATAAGTTCCTTTCCTGAGGATGGCTCACCCCTCACAGTTTTGGGGGATTTCAACCTCCCTACGTCTACATTTGACTCATTTCTCTCTGCCTCCTTCTTTCCACTCCTCTCCTCTTTTGACCTCACCCTCTCACCGTCCCCCCCTACTCACAAGGCAGGCAATACGCTTGACCTCATCTTTACTAGATGCTGCTCTTCTACTAATCTCACTGCAACTCCCCTCCATGTCTCCGACCACTACTTTGTATCCTTTTCTCTCTCGCTCTCCTCCAACACTACTCACTCTGCCCCTACACAGATGGTAATGCGCCGCCGCAACCTTCGCTCTCTCTCTCCCACTACTCTCTCCTCTTCCATCCTATCATCTCTTCCCTCTGCTCAATCCTTCTCCCTCCAATCTCCTGATTCTGCCTCCTCAACCCTCCTCTCCTCCCTTTCTGCATCCTTTGACTCTCTGTGTCCCCTATCCTCCCGGCCGGCTCGGTCCTCCCCTCCAGCTCCGTGGCTTGATGACTCATTGCGAGCTCACAGAACAGAGCTCCGGGCAGCGGAGCGGAAATGGAAGAAAACTAAACTCCCTGCCGACCTGGCATCTTTTCACTCCCTCCTCTCTACATTTTCTTCATCTGTTTCTGCTGCTAAGGCCACTTTCTACCACTCTAAATTCCAAGCATCTGCCTCTAACCCTAGGAAGCTCTTTGCCACATTCTCCTCACTGCTGAATCCCCCCCCCCCCCCCCCCCCCCACTCCTCTCTCTCTGTGGATGACTTCGTCAACCACTTTGAAAAGAAGGTTGACGACATCCGATCCTCGTTTGTTAAGTCTAATGACACTGCTGGTCCTGCTCACACTGCCCTACCCTATGCTTTGACTTCTTTCTCCCCTCTCTCTCCAGATAAAATCCTGCGACTTGTGACTGCAGGCCGCCCAACAACCTGCCCGCTTGACCCCATCCCCTCCTCTCTTCTCCAGACCATCTCCGGTGACCTTCTCCCCTACCTCACCTCGCTGATCAACTCATCCTTGACCGCTGGCTATGTTCCTTCCGTCTTCAAGAGAGCGAGAGTTGCACCCCTTCTCAAAAAACCAACACTCGATCCCACTGATGTCAACAACTACAGACCAGTATCCCTTCTTTCTTTTCTTTCTAAAACTATTGAGCGTGCCGTCTTTAGCCAACTCTCTTGCTATCTCTCTCAGAATGACCTTCTTGATCCAAACCAGTCAGGTTTCAGGACTGGTCATTCAACTGAGACTGCTCTTCTCTGTGTCACGGAGGCTCTCCGCACTGCTAAAGCTAACTCTCTCTCCTCTGCTCTTGTCCTTCTAGGCCTGTCTGCTGCCTTTGATACTGTGAACCATCAGATCCTCCTCTCCACCCTCTCCGAGCTGGGCATCTCCGGCGCGGCTCACTCCTGGATTGCGTCCTACCTGACCGGTCGCTCCTACCAAGTGGCGTGGCGAGAAGCTGTCTCCGCACCACGTGCTCTCACCACTGGTGTCCCCCAGGGCTCAGTTCTAGGCCCTCTCCTATTCTCCCTATACACCAAGTCACTTGGCTCTGTCATATCCTCACATGGCCTCTCCTATCATTGCTACGCTGACGATACACAACTAATCTTCTCCTTTCCCCCTTCTGATAACCAGGTGGCGAATCGCATCTCTGCATGTCTGGCAGACATATCAGTATGGATGACGGATCACCACCTCAAGCTGAACCCTGGCAAGACGGAGCTGCTCTTCCTCCCGGGGAAGGACTGCCCGTTCCATGATCTCACCATCACGGTTGACAACTCCGTTGTGTCCTCCTCCCAGAGTGCGAAGAGCCTTGGCGTGACCCTGGACAACACCCTGTCATTCTCCGCTAACATCAAGGCGGTGACCCGATCCTGCAGGTTCATGCTCTACAACATTCGGAGAGTACGACCCTGCCTTACACAGGAAGCGGCACAGGTCCTAATCCAGGCACTTGTCATCTCCCGTCTGGATTACTGCAACTCGCTGTTGGCTGGGCTCCCTGCCTGTGCCATTAAACCCCTACAACTCATCCAGAATGCCGCAGCCCGTCTGGTGTTCAACCTTCCCAAGTTCTCTCACGTCACCCCGCTCCTCCGCACACTCCACTGGCTTCCAGTTGAAGCTCGCATCTGTTACAAGACCATGGTGCTTGCCTATGGAGCTGTGAGGGGATCGGCACCTCTGTACCTTCAGGCTCTGATCAGTCCCTACACCCAAACGAGGGCATTGCGTTCATCCACCTCTGGCCTGCTGGCTCCCCTTCCTCTGCGGAAGCATAGTTCCCGCTCAGCCCAGTCAAAACTGTTCGCTGCTCTGGCACCCCAATGGTGGAACAAGCTCCCTCACGACGCCAGGACAGCCGAGTCACTCACCACCTTCCGGAGACATTTGAAACCCACCCTCTTTAAGGAATACCTGGGATAGGACAAAGTAATCCTTCTAGGCTTTGTTACTTTGGTCCCAGCTCTCTGCAGGTCATTCACTAGGTCCCCCCGTGTGGTTCTGGGATTTTTGCTCACCGTTCTTGTGATCATTTTGACCCCACGGGGTGAGATCTTGCGTGGAGCCCCAAATCGAGGGAGATTATCAGTGGTCTTGTATGTCTTCCATTTCCAATAATTGCTCCCACAGTTGATTTCTTCAAACCAAGCTGCTTACCTATTGCAGATTCAGTCTTCCCAGCCTGGTGCAGGTCTACAATATTGTTTCTGGTGTCCTTTGACAGCTCTTTGGTCTTGGCCATAGTGGAGTTTGGAGTGTGACTGTTTGAGGTTGTGGACAGTTGTCTTTTATACTGATAACAAGTTCAAACAGGTGCCATTAATACAGGTAACGAGTGGAGGACAGAGGAGCCTCTTAAAGAAGAAGTTACAGGTCTGTGAGAGCCAGAAATCTTGCTTGTTTGTAGGTGACCAAATACTTATTTTCCACCATAATTTGCAAATAAATTCATTAAAAATCCTACAATGTGATTTTCTGGATTTTTTCCCCTCAATTTGTCTGTCATAGTTGACGTGTACCTATGATGAAAATTACAGGCCTCTCTCATCTTTTTAAGTGGGAGAACTTGCACAATTGGTGGCTGACTAAATACTTTTTTCCCCCACTGTATACACATATCCTTTTTTAAAATATTTTTCCCTTTATTACTTTCCAACCCCACCACCCCTTCCCTAATTGGAGTTTGGAGTAAACTAGTGAACAACAATGCTTAGGCCTCTACTTCTAGCTTATACATACTATATACATTTTATGGACACAGACAATTTTACAATAATTCTATTTTGTTTGTTTTTACTCCTTAACTTCCTCTACCCTCAACCTCTCCGATCATTTTTATGACAGCTAGTTAGCTAGTCTGACAACTCTTCTGGACTGTGTTGGACACTCTTTCACTCATTAGCTAACGTTAGCTAAGTTAGCTGGCTAGCTACCATAGCTAGATTTTACTTATATTCCGTCTGCGTTAGTTTAACCAAGCTATTTGGCAGGCTTATCTCATGCTTGCATAGTGATTAAGTTATCTAGCATTATCGTACTGGCTTTCAATGGTTTCTGACAGTGGCAGTTTAAGTCAGAATTGTGAAGTTGAGGAGGATGGATCCAAATTATATTAACGTAGCTAGCTAACATTAGAGCAAAGCATTTTTCTATCTGTGGTTAGAGTTTACCTTAAGTTTGATGTAGCTAAGTTAGTATAGCTAGCTATGTTTCTATAATTTCTTTATTTCTGTACTTAAATGCAAAGGTCAAGGCCAATAGACAGCTTTGTAAAGGATATACTGAGTGGAACCTGGCCTCTTTGATTCCAAAGTTTGAGGGTAGGTAAAACTGAGAAATTCCTTTTTGAGAGTGAGGGCACAGAGCTTTGGGGGGGAAAAAACACACCTGCACCTCTCTGATTCAGAGGGTTAAATGCAGAAGACACATTTTAGTTGAATGGATTCAGCTGACTAGGTACCTCCTTTCTCTTTTGCAGAGGAGGACATGGACCAGGAAACACTCTTGCTTTTGGACGACTCGACTATAGCCTGAAGTTAAAGAATAACATAAAAGATTTGCACGTGTGTTTTCTGTAAACACCACCTTTTTTCTACATGAGGGGAGGTCCAAGGATTACATTAGAAATTACCCAGCTGCTGGGTCAATCCCCCAACCCAATGGCTAGGTTTATGTCACAACCCAACACGCTGGGTGGTTTTAACCCAGCAATATAGTTTAATTTACCTAGCAGCTGGGTCAAGTGCTGAATGCAAGGCGTTGGGTTAGAAGCACAACACGACCCCGCTGGGTTGAATTAACCCAATGCTGTGTTTGTTCAATATTGACCCAGTGCTGGGTTGTCGAAATGACCCAAAATAGGTTATTTTTAACACAACAACTCATTTTGGAAAAATTATATGAATTGCCATATTAGGGATAACTCAATTTCTACCTTTTTTAAGATGCCAAAATAAAATGTTTTCATTATCCTAAATTTGTTTGTTTTCTGTTTTCTGTTTGTTTCAGTGCATGCATTCAACAAGCTTTGGACGAAGGACTTCCACACACATGAATACATAGGACTGTGGACAGACCAAGCAACACACCAAGCTTAAGCAGTAGTCGGGTCTTGCCAGGTACATGTTGAAAGATTTGTTGTGTATTTTTAAAACTGATTGTTAAAAGGAATTTATAATTAATGTAATACTTTGTGCACACAACAGAGTCAAATGTTAGAGAGCAGCCCAGATGACCGAGTGGCTGAAGAACAACATTTGGCTGGCAAACCAAGTTGCGGAGTACATGAAGGAGAATGCATTCCAAAGGACTCCGTGGATAAGACAGAATGGGGCCTGGACAGTCGAGATAGTCCGAGAGTATCCGCGTCTGCTGGATATTCCAGGCATGGTGAGTTACATTTTTTTATAAAAACAGACTTGAATTTTATTATGTTTGCTGTGATTAACTAGCCTCACTGACACGACCCACGTGACTCACAGTGCAGGAAGAGCTGTGACCACACTGGTTTGGAAAGGAGGCTGTTAATGCATTATTCGCTCATAAATTATGCAATGGGGCTTGATTGGTTCTATCAACAAGCAAAAAAAATCCCTCAGAGGATGAAACCTCCCATTGTTTGGATTTGAAAATCCAACCATTGTAATAGAAGGGGTGGCACTCGGGGGCTGAGTGTGGCTGTGCTTGTGGGTGTTTGAGTGAGAAAGACACAGAGGAGAGCCAACCAGTAAAAACACAGCCCCCTTCATTATCGACGCATTGTGCCGACAACATCAAAGAGCCATTCTAGACTGAGGTCAGAAGGACTTTGAGAGTTAAAGTGTTAGCCAGACTAATGATTAACTGCAATGGAAAAGGACTTCTCAATTTTAAACCCGGACTGCTCGGGGAAACTCACTGAGAACTGGATCGCAGTCTTCAAGGACATAAAAGTTTGCTTCACCAGCCGAGAAAAGCAGGCCCAAGATCTTCTCTTCGAAGTGCAGGTATAGTTTCAAATGACCCTACTGGTGATGCCTCAGATTCTCATTCATGTTTAGCCTGAAACAAGTTATACACTAAATATTATTTTCTTTCCAGATACACAAGGTGACATCGCTTTAAGACTTCTGCCAGTGGTTCTCCCAACACCAGTCTACAAGATTGGCAGGAAGACATTCCGACCCAGCTTCAAATAGACCAGAAAGTCCTTCATTTACTTGTTTAATAGTGGATAGGCATAGGGAGGTTGATGGGGAAATTAGATGATAGCATTTGTAAACCTTGAATGAAAGGAACAGATTTCCAAAATATGTTATGCATAACTGCACACTCCAACCTATGAGCCTCAGACACAAATAAATGAAAGATGTGGGCATCAAACAGGGATTGGGTGTTTATATTGATGTAAATGGCTATATAGTATAAAAACAAATTGTGTGTGATGGCGTTGTCAGTGTGCCTCATGTTAAAAAATCAATGGATGGATGAGCCATGAGTATCAACCCCGAACAACAACTGCTCCCCGGGCGCCGAAGATGTCGATTATGGCAGCCCCCCGCACCTCTCTGATTCAGAGGGGTTGGGTTAAATGCAGAAGACACATTTCGGTTGAATGCATTCAGTTGTGCAACTGACTAGGTATCCCCGTTCCCCTTCATATTCAAATACTAATATGCTCTTAAGGCACTTTTTATAGCGCTGTTAAATTAACTTTTAGTTTGTTCTAATGCATTTTTGCCTACTGTACAATATGTGCTTGTTTGCCTTTAGTTCAACTACTGTTGGACATATATTTACATTTTAGTCATTTAGCAAACGCTCTTATCCAGAGCGACTTACAGTTAGTGAGTGCATACATTCTTTTTTAAATTTTCATACTGGCCCCCTGTGGGAATCGAACCCACAACCCTGGCGTTGCAAACGCCATGCTCTACCAACTGAGCTACATCCCTGCCAGCCATTCCCTCCCCTACCCTGGATGATGCTGGGCCAATTGTGCGCCGCCCCATGGGTCTCCCGGACGCGGCCGGCTACGACAGATAAATATATACAGTGGGGGAAAAAAGTATTTAGTCAGCCACCAATTGTGCATGTTCTACACTTAAAAAGATGAGAGAGGCCTGTAATTGTCATCATAGGTACACGTCAACTATGACAGACAAATTAGATATTTTTTCTCCAGAAAATCACATTGTAGGATTTTTAATGAATTTATTTGCAAATTATGGTGGAAAATAAGTATTTGTTCAATAACAAAAGTTTCTCAATACTTTGTTATATACCCTTTGTTGGCAATGACACAGGTCAAACGTTTTCTGTAAGTCTTCACAAGGTTTTCACACACTGTTGCTGGTATTTTGGCCCATTCCTCCATGCAGATCTCCTCTAGAGCAGTGATGTTTTGGGGCTGTCGCTGGGCAACACGGACTTTCAACTCCCTCCAAAGATTTTCTATGGGGTTGAGATCTGGAGACTGGCTAGGCCACTCCAGGACCTTGAAATGCTTCTTACGAAGCCACTCCTTCGTTGCCCGGGCGGTGTGTTTGGGATCATTGTCATGCTGAAAGACCCAGCCACGTTTCATCTTCAATGCCCTTGCTGATGAAAGGAGGTTTTCACTCAAAATCTCACGATACATGGCCCCATTCATTCTTTCCTTTACACGGATCAGTCGTCCTGGTCCCTTTGCAGAAAAACAGCCCCAAAGCATGATGTTTCCACCCCCATGCTTCACAGTAGGTATGGTGTTCTTTGGATGCAACTCAGCATTCTTTGTCCTCCAAACACGACGAGTTGAGTTTTTACCAAAAAGTTATATTTTGGTTTCATCTGACCATATGACATTCTCCCAATCCTCTTCTGGATCATCCAAATGCACTCTAGCAAACTACAGATGGGCCTGGACATGTACTGGCTTAAGCAGGGGGACACGTCTGGCACTGCAGGATTTGAGTCCCAGGCGGCGTAGTGTGTTACTGATGGTAGGCTTTGTTACTTTGGTCCCAGCTCTCTGCAGGTCATTCACTAGGTCCCCCCGTGTGGTTCTGGGATTTTTGCTCACCGTTCTTGTGATCATTTTGACCCCACGGGGTGAGATCTTGCGTGGAGCCCCAGATCGAGGGAGATTATCAGTGGTCTTGTATGTCTTCCATTTCCTAATAATTGCTCCCACAGTTGATTTCTTCAAACCAAGCTGCTTACCTATTGCAGATTCAGTCTTCCCAGCCTGGTGCAGGTCTACAATTTTGTTTCTGGTGTCCTTTGACAGCTCTTTGGTCTTGGCCATAGTGGAGTTTGGAGTGTGACTGTTTGAGGTTGTGGACAGGTGTCTTTTATACTGATAACAAGTTCAAACAGGTGCCATTAATACAGGTAACGAGTGGAGGACAGAGGAGCCTCTTAAAGAAGAAGTTACAGGTCTGTGAGAGCCAGAAATCTTGCTTGTTTGTAGGTTACCAAATACTTATTTTCCACCATAATTTGCAAATAAATTCATAAAAAATCCTACAATGTGATTTTCTGGATTTTTTTTTCTCAATTTGTCTGTCATAGTTGACGTTTACCTACAGTGGGGAGAACAAGTATTTGATACACTGCCGATTTTGCAGGTTTTCCTACTTACAAAGCATGTAGAGGTCTATAATTTTTATCATAGGTACACTTCAACTGTGAGAGACGGAATCTAAAACAAAAATCCAGAAAATCACATTGTATGATTTTTAAGTAATTAATTTGCATTTTATTGCATGACATAAGTATTTGATCACCTACCAACCAGTAAGAATTCCGGCTCTCACAGACCTGTTAGTTTTTCTTTAAGAAGCCCTCCTGTTCTCCAATCATTACCTGTATTAACTGCACCTGTTTGTACTCGTTACCTGTATAAAAGACACCTGTCCACACACTCAATCAAACAGACTCCAACCTCTCCACAATGGCCAAGACCAGAGAGCTGTGTAAGGACATCAGGGATACAATTGTAGACCTGCACAAGGCTGGGATGGGCTACAGGACAATAGGCAAGCAGCTTGGTGAGAAGGCAACATCTGTTGGCGCAATTATTAGAAAATGGAAGAAGTTCAAGATGACGGTCAATCACCCTCGGTCTGGGGCTCCATTTAAGATCTCACCTCGTGGGGCATCAATGATCATGAGGAAGGTGAGGGATCAGCCCAGAACTACACGGCAGGACCTGGTCAATGACCTGAAGAGAGCTGGGACCACAGTCTCAAAGAAAACCATTAGTAACACACTACGCCGTCATGGATTAAAATCCTGCAGCGCACGCAAGGTCCCCCTGCTCAAGCCCGCGCATGTCCAGGCCCGTCTGAAGTTTGCCAATGACCATCTGGATGATCCAGAGGAGGAATGGGAGAAGGACATGTGGTCTGATGAGATAAAAATATAGCTTTTTGGTCTAAACTCCACTCGCCGTGTTTGGAGGAAGAAGAAGGATGAGTATAACCCCAAGAACACCATCCCAACCGTGAAGAATGGAGGTGGAAACATCAATCTTTGGGGATGCTTTTCTGCAAAGGGTACAGGACAACTGCACCGTATTGAGGGGAGGATGGAGGGGGCATGCATTGCGAGATCTTGGCCAACAACCTCCTTACCTCAGTAAGAGCATTGAAGATGGGTCGTGGCTGGGTCTTCCAGCATGACAACGACCCGAAACACACAGCCAGGGCAACTAAGGAGTGGCTCCGTAAGAAGCATCTCAATGTCCTGGAGTGGCCTAGCCAGTCTCCAGACCTGAACCCAATAGAAAATCTTTGGAGGGAGCTGAAAGTCTGTATTGCCCAGCGACAGCCCCGAAACCTGAAGGTTCTGGAGAAGGTCTGTATGGAGGAGTGGGCCAAAATCCCTTGCTGCAGTGTGTGCAAACCTGGTCAAGACCTACAGGAAACGTATGATCTATATAATTGCAAACAAAGGTTTCTGTACCAAATATTAAGTTCTGCTTGTCTGATGTATCAAATACTTATGTCATGCAATAAAATGCAAATGAATTACTTAAAAATCATACAATGTGATTTTCTGGATTTTTGTTTTAGATTCTGTCTCTCACAGTTTAAGTGTACCTATGATAAAAATTACAGACCTCTACATGCTTTGTAAGTAGGAAAACCTGCAAAATCGGCAGTGTATCAAATACTTGTTCTCCCCACTCTATGATGAAAATTACAGGCCTCTCTCATCTTTTTAAGTGGGAGAACTTGCACAATTGGTGGCTGACTAAATACTTTTTTTTCCCCACTGTAAATGTTGTGGTTACATACAAATATTAAATAAACAATTAATTTGGGAAATATCCAGTCTTTGCTCTTTTCTTCATTACCATGCTGATTACATTTTACATTTACATTTTAGTCATTTAGCAGACGCTCTTATCCAGAGCGACTTACAGGAGCAATTAGGGTTAAGTGCCTTGCTCAAGGGCACATTAACGTCATTTAGCAGACGCTCTTAGCCAGAGCGACTCGCAAATTGGTGCGTTCACCCTATAGCCAGTGGGATAACCACTTTACAATTTGGGGGGGGGGGGGGGGGGGTTAGAAGGAACACTTTATCCTATCCCAGGTATTCCTTAAAGAGGTGGGGTTTCAAATGTCTCCGGAAGGTGGTGAGTGACTCCGCTGTCCTGGCGTCGTGAGGGAGCTTGTTCCACCATTGGGGTGCCAGAGCAGCGAACAGTTTTGACTGGGCTGAGCGGGAGCTATGCTTCCGCAGAGGAAGGGGAGCCAGCAGGCCAGAGGTGGATGAACGCAATGCCCTCGTTTGGGTGTAGGGACTGATCAGAGCCTGAAGGTACAGAGGTGCCGTTCCCCTCACTGCTCCATAGGCAAGCACCATGGTCTTGTAGCGGATGCGAGCTTCAACTGGAAGCCAGTGGAGTGTGCGGAGGAGGGGGGTGACGTGAGAGAACTTGGGAAGGTTGAACACCAGACGGGCTGCGGCATTCTGGATGAGTTGTAGGGGTTTAATGGCACAGGCAGGGAGGCCAGCCAACAGCGAGTTGCAGTAGTCCAGACGGGAGATGACAAGTGCCTGGATTAGGACCTGTGCCGCTTCCTGTGTAAGGCAGGGTCGTACTCTCCGAATGTTGTAGAGCATGAACCTGCAGGAGCGGGTCACCGCCTTGATGTTGGCGGAGAACGACAGGGTGTTGTCCAGGGTCACGCCTAGGCTCTTCGCACTCTGGGAGGAGGACACAGCGGAGTTGTCAACCGTGATGGCGAGATCATGGAACGGGCAGTCCTTCCCCGGGAGGAAGAGCAGCTCCGTCTTGCCAGGGTTCAGCTTGAGGTGGTGATCCGTCATCCATACTGATATGTCTGCCAGACATGCAGAGATGCGATTCGCCACCTGGTTATCAGAAGGGGAAAGGAGAAGATTAGTTGTGTATCGTCAGCGTAGCAATGATAGGAAAGGCCATGTGAGGATATGACAGAGCCAAGTGACTTGGTGTATAGGGAGAAAAGGAGAGGGCCTAAAACTGAGCCCTGGGGGACACCAGTGGTGAGAGCAGGTGGTGCGGAGACAGCTTCTCGCCACGCCACTTGGTAGGAGCGACCGGTCAGGTAGGACGCAATCCAGGAGTGAGCCGCGCCGGAGATGCCCAGCTCGGAGAGGGTGGAGAGGAGGATCTGATGGTTCACAGTATCAAAGGCAGCAGACAGGTCTATAAGGACAAGAGCAGAGGAGAGAGAGTTAGCTTTAGCAGTGCGGAGAGTCTCCGTGACACAGAGAAGAGCAGTCTCAGTTGAATGACCAGTCCTGAAACCTGATTGGTTTGGATCAAGAAGGTCATTCTGAGAGAGATAGCAAGAGAGTTGGCTAAAGACGGCACGCTCAATAGTTTTGGAAAGAAAAGAAAGAAGGGATACTGGTCTGTAGTTGTTGACATCAGTTGGGTCGAGTGTTGGTTTTTTAAGAAGGGGAGCAACTCTCGCTCTCTTGAAGACGGAAGGGACATGGCCAGCGGTCAAGGATGAGTTGATCAGCGAGGTGAGGTAGGGGAGAAGGTCACCGGAGATGGTCTGGAGAAGGGAGGAGGGGATGGGGTCAAGCGGGCAGGTTGTTGGGCGGCCTGCAGTCACAAGTCGCAGGATTTTATCTGGAGAGAGAGGGGAGAAAGAAGTCAAAGCATAGGGTAGGGCAGTGTGAGCAGGACCAGCAGTGTCATTAGACTTAACAAACGAGGATCGGATGTCGTCAACCTTCTTTTCAAAGTGGTTGACGAAGTCATCTACAGAGAGAGAGGAGGGGGGGGGGGGGGGGGGGGGAGGATTCAGGAGGGAGGAAAATGTGGCAAAGAGCTTCCTAGGGTTAGAGGCAGATGCTTGGAATTTAGAGTGGTAGAAGGTGGCCTTAGCAGCAGAAACAGATGAAGAAAATGTAGAGAGGAGGGAGTGAAAAGATGCCAGGTCGGCAGGGAGTTTAGTTTTCTTCCATTTCCGCTCCGCTGCCCGGAGCGCTGTTCTGTGAGCTCGCAATGAGTCATCAAGCCACGGAGCTGGAGGGGAGGACCGAGCCGGCCGGGAGGATAGGGGACACAGAGAGTCAAAGGATGCAGAAAGGGAGGAAAGGAGGGTTGAGGAGGCAGAATCAGGAGATTGGAGGGAGAAGGATTGAGCAGAGGGAAGAGATGATAGGATGGAAGAGGAGAGAGTAGTGGGAGAGAGAGAGCGAAGGTTGCGGCGGCGCATTACCATCTGTGTAGGGGCAGAGTGAGTAGTGTGGGAGGAGAGCGAGAGAGAAAAGGAAACAAAGTAGTGGTCAGAGACATGGAGGGGAGTTGCAGTGAGATTAGTAGAGGAGCAGCATCTAGTGAAGATGAGGTCAAGCGTATTGCCTGCCTTGTGAGTAGGGGGGGACGGTGAGAGGGTGAGGTCAAAAGAGGAGAGGAGAGGAGTGGAAAGAAGGAGGCAGAGAGAAATGAGTCAAATGTGGACATAGGGAGGTTGAAATCCCCCAAAACTGTGAGGGGTGAGCCATCCTCAGGGAAGGAACTTATCAAGGCGTCAAGCTCATTGATGAACTCTCCAAGGGAACCTGGAGGGCGATAGATGACAAGGATATTAAGCTTAAATGGGCTAGTGACTGTGACAGCATGGAATTCAAATGAGGAGATAGACAGATGGGTTAGGGGAAAAATTGAGAATGTCCACTTGGGAGAGATGAGGATTCCTGTACCACCACCCCTCTGACCAGATGCTCTCGGGGTATGCGAGAACACATGGTCAGACGAGGAGAGAGCAGTAGGAGTAGCAGTGTTTTCAGTGGTGATCCATGTTTCCGTCAGCGCCAGGAAGTCGAGGGACTGGAGGTTGGCATAGGCTGGGATGAAGTCAGCTTTGTTGGCAGCAGAACGGCAGTTCCAGAGGCTGCCTGCGACCTGGAACTCCACGTGGGTGGTGCGTGCAGGGACCACCAGGTTAGAGAGGCAGCAGCCACGCGGTGTGGTGCGTTTGTGTAGCCTGTGCAGAGAGGAGAGAACAGGGATAGGCAGAGACATAGTTGACAGGCTGTAGCAAATGGCTACAAAAATGCAGAGGAGATCGGAATGAAATGAGCTAAGCATCTGGGAGCGGAGAGAGCAGGGCCTCCCTCACCAAAAACGTCTACCTCAGAAACTAAAATTGTTTCACTGAACCACCCGAACAAAAACTCTCCCAACTTCCGCCTTTAGAAATCAGAATTGTTGTGAACCACAGCGGTTCAATGTTTAAAGGAATAGACTCAACCCACTTTATTCAGCTAGCCAACTATGACACCATAGCTAACTAGCAAGCTAGCATCCAATAACAATAACACACCGTTTAGCACCAACACTTGGTCACAACAAACCACCAATAGTGTGATAACACACTAAACAGATCATTCGTGTCTGTGTCAAGTTCCTTTCATGACGCAGCAATGATTAGACGTTGGCTAGCTAGGACAAGTATATTGTATTTAGCTACTACCGTACAGTTAGCTGGTCGTGTTGGGTAGCTAGCAATGACCACTGTGTTGACTTTGTATGAAGAACGGCTAGCTAGCTAGCTTCGTGCTACACCCGGCACACAATGGCTATTGTGTTGACTCTGACTCTGTTCGAAAAAAACGGCTAGGTAGCTCGCTTCGTGCTACAGCCGGCACTGCCAAGACACAGTAACTACACACAACAACCCACGATGCCTAGCTATGACGCCGTAGCTAACTTGCAAGCTAGCATCCATTAACACACAATTTAGCATCAATACTTGGTTACAACAAACTGCCAAGAGTGTGTTAGCACACTAAACAGATAATTCAAGTCCGTGTCTAGTTCCTTTCATAACGCATAACGCAGCAAAAAATTAAACGTTGGCTAGCACTACATTAACATTGGAACCAGCTCTCCAGCGTTGCTAATCGTTACCAGTAGCTACCCGCTAGCTAGCTAGCCTCGTGCTTCGATACTAACCTACAATTACCTACGGAAACCTACAATAACAACAATACTAACCTATAATAAATACAATACCTAACTACGGCTAACTACCTACCTACGATCTAATACATGGTTAAGCAAAAATTAAACGTTGGCTAGCACTACATTAACATTGGGACCAGCTCTCTAGCGTTGCTAATCGTTACCAGTAGCTACCCGCTAGCTAGCTAGCCTCGTGCTTCGATACTAACCTACAATTACCTACGGAAACCTACAAAAACAACAATACTAACCTATGATAAATACAATACCTAACTACAGCTAACTACCTACCTACGATCTAATACATGGTTAAGCTTTACTCAACACCATATGAGAAGCTTACCTCCTGCTTACCAGTACCAGATCAAATCTGATGATTTGAACTTGTGTTGGATTTATTTTGAACTGTTAAGACATTGAATGCATGTTGTTTAGTATATTTACTACATTTAGTATGTCTCGTTTTTCTCTGAGAAGTAAGTTCATTTAAGTTATGTGATTTGTTTTATGTAGATACAACATTTCAATTTTAACAGTAACCAAAAACCTGATCTAATTTGCATATTCATACTGAGTTTGCAACAAATTTGTGAAGAATGTTGCCACAATTTTCCCAGAATTGTTTGCCAGAAGTTCACAAGTTCACAAGTAGGGCGGCAGGTAGCTTAGTGGGTAAGAGCGTTGTGCCAGTAACCGAAAGGTCGCTGGTTCTAATCCCCGAGCCGACTAGGTGAAAAATCTGTCGATGTGCCCTTGAGCAAGGCACTTAACCCTAATTGCTCCTGTAAGTCGCTCTGGATAAGAGCGTCTACTAAAATGTAATGTAAAAAATAAAAAAAGTTGCCGCAAATTTACCTCAACAGTTTGCCACAAAACTAATTTGCATGTGAAAATATGAGCTTGCCACAAATTTTCGACAAATTGGCCAAAGGTTTGCCACAACTGTTTGCCAGACGCCTGTTTTTTTCAGTAAGGGAAAAACTTTTCTGCTCTAAATATCATTTTGATGTGCTTATAAAGACAGTATGCTTACACTTAACTAACAAATTTAAAAAAGTACAACTTCAGCTGTTTCACCAGAATGGCATTCTATTAGTCTATTTGGCTGTCTAACCACACACTGACATGCACAGCTCTCTGGGTGAGGTTCACTCTTCAAGTCTCCAGTGGGTGATTGTCACGCCCTGACTCTAGGGACTTGTATTGGTTGAGTCAGTGTGTGTATTTTCTGTGTTGGGTTTGTCTATGCTAGTTTCTAGATCGTTTAGATCTATGTTGGCCAGGGTGGTTCCCAATCAGAGGCAGCTGTAGCTCGTTGTCTCTGATTGGGGACCATACTTAGGTAGCCTGTTGGCACTAGTGGGGTGTGGGATCTTGTTCCGTGTGAGGTATGTTATTTGTCTACCTTGGACGTCACGTTTCGTTTGTTGTTTTGGTTGTGCGTTTATTCGTTAAATAAATATGAATGCATATCACGCTGCGCCTTGGTCCTTCTCGTTCATGAACAATCGTGACAGAAGATCCCACCAATCCTGGATCAAGCAGCGTGACGAGGAGAGAGGATGGTCTTGGGAGGAGATGAGCGAGAGTCTGGCAAGAGGGATGGAGGCCATGATCACGGGGGAGAGACAAGCCCAAAAAATTTTGAGGGGGGGGGGCTCACGCCGTGGACGACGAGGCAGCAGGGGGCCGCGATAGAGCGGTTCAGCCGTTTAGCAGAGGAGGCCGCCAGATTAAGGGGGTCATTGGTTCAGAGGGAATAGGAGGAAAGTGTAGAGGCACGGCGAGAGGAGCTGGTTAGGCAGCAGAAGGAGCGGGGGTTAATGAAGGAACCCAGTCCCGCTCCTCGCACCAATCAAGTGGTGCGTGTCGCCAGTCCGGTCCGGCCCATTCCTGATTCCACACACTAAGCCAGCGGTGAGTGTTCCCAGTATTGTTCCGCCCGTTCCTGCTCCTCGCATCAAGCCATTGGTGCGCATCGCCAGCCCGGTCCAGCCTGTTCCTGTCCCTCGCACCAAGTCAGTGGTGCGCGTCGCCAGCCCGGCCCGGCCTGTTCCTGCCCCGTGCACCAAGCCAGTGGTGCACGTCGCCAGCCCGGTCCGACCTGTTCCTGTCCCTCGCACCAAGCCAGTGGTGCGCGTCGCCAGCCCGGCCCGGCCTGTTCCTGCTCCCCGCACCAGGCCAGTGGTGCGCGTCGCCAGTCCGGTACGGCCCGTTCCTGCTCCCCGTACCAAGCCAGTGGTGCGGGTCGTCAGCCCAGTCCGGCCCGTTCCTGCTCCCCGCACCAAGCCAGTGGTGCGTGTGTCCAGTCCGGCACGGCCCGTGCCTGTTCCACCGGTGCCTGGTCCAGCTCCGGTCAGCGGCTCCACTCCGGAGCCAGAGCAATCCGCTCCACCGGGGTCCAGTCCAGCTCCGGCCAGCGGCTCCACTCCGGAGCCGGATCCGCCTCCGAGGCGGAATGCCCACCCGGCCCCTACCCTGTTAGGTTTATGTGGCGCGGTCGGAGTCCGCACCTTTGGGGGGGGGGGGTACTGTCACGCCCTGACTCTAGGGACTTGTATTGGTTGAGTCAGGGTGTGTATTTTCTGTGTTGGGTTTGTCTATGCTAGTTTCTAGATCGTTTAGATCTATGTTGGCCAGGGTGGTTCCCAATCAGAGGCAGCTGTAGCTCGTTGTCTCTGATTGGGGACCATACTTAGGTAGCCTGTTGGCACTAGTGGGGTGTGGGATCTTGTTCCGTGTGAGGTATGTTATTTGTCTACCTTGGACGTCACGTTTCTTTTGTTGTTTTGGTTGTGCGTTTATTCGTGAAATAAATATGAATGCATATCACGCTGCGCCTTGGTCCTTCTCGTTCATGAACGATCGTGACAGTGATGAAATCCCTTCCACCTATGTAATGTATTACAGGTTATGGACATGTGCAGTCAGGTGACATGGAGTGCATGACAATCCATCCTGGATATGATATGACAGAGTTTGCCTTAACCCATGGGCAGGGATGGGCAAACATGACAAAATACCATAAAGATCATACATATTTTGAAATGTATTTCATTAAAATATATTCATTTTTTTTTTTTTTACACAAAAATACATTTGCAAGTAGCCGGCCCAAACAGCAACAACATTCTCAGTAGTGGTTACAGAAACTTTGGCTGTGATATGTTGTTTATATACCTTAGACTGTAAGTCACTCTGGATAAGAGTGCTAAATTCCCAAAATGTACTGTATATGTACAGTATCTCACAAAAGTGAGTACACCCCTCACATTTTTGTAAATATTTGAGTATATCTTTTCATTTGACAACACTGAAGAAATGACACTTTGCTACAATGTAAAGTAGTGAGTGTACAGCTTGTATAACATTTACATTTTAGTCATTTAGCAGACGCTCTTATCCAGAGCGACTTACAGGAGCAATTAGGGTTAAGTGCCTTGCTCAAGGGCACATATAACAGTGTACATTTGCTGTCCCCTCAAAATAACACAACGCACAGCCATTAATGTCTAAACCGCTGGCAACAAAAGTGAGTACACCCCTAAGTGAAAATGTCCATATTGGGCCCAAAGTGTCAATATTTTGTGTGGCCACCATCATTTTCCAGCACTGCCTTAACCCTCTTGGGCATGGAGTTCACCAGAGCTTCACAGGTTGCCACTGGAGTCCTCTTCCACTCCTCCATGACGACATCACGGAGCTGGTGGATGTTAGAGACCTTGCACTCCTCCACCTTCCGTTTGAGGATGCCCCATAGATGCTCAATAGGGTTTAGGTCTGGAGACATGCTTGGCCAGTCTATCACCTTTACCCTCAGCTTCTTTAGCAAGGCAGTGGTCGTCTTGGAGGTGTGTTTGGGGTTGTTATCATGTTGGAATACTGCCCTGCGGCCCAGTCTCCGAAGAGAGGGGATCATGCTCTGCTTCAGTATGTCACAGTACATGTTGGCATTTATGGTTCCCTCAATGAACTGTAGCTCCCCAGTGCCGGCAGCACTCATGCAGCCACAGACCATGACACTCCCACCACCATGCTTGACTGTAGGCAAGACACACTTGTTTTTGTACTCCTCACCTGGTTGCCGCCACACACGCTTGACACCATCTGAACCAAATAAGTTTATCTTGGTCTCATCAGACCACAGGACATTGTTCCAGTAATCCATGTCCTTAGTCTGCTTGTCTTCAGCAAACTGTTAGCAGGCTTTCTTGTGCATCATCTTTAGGAGAGTCTTCCTTCTGGGACGACAGCCATGCAGACCAATTTGATGCAGTATGCGGCATATGGTCTGAGCACTGACAGGCTGACCCCCCACCCCTTCAACCTCTGCTGCAATGCTGGCAGCACTCATACGTCTATTTCCCAAAGACAACCTCTGGATATGATGCTGAGCACATGCACTCAGCTTCTTTGGTCAATCATGGCGAGGCCTGTTCTGAGTGGAACCTGTCCTGTTAAACCGCTGTATGGTCTTGGCCACCGTGCCGCAGCTCAGTTTCAGGTCTTGGCAATCTTCTTATAGCCCAGGCCATCTTTATGTAGAGCAACAATTCTTTTTTTCAGATCCTCAGAGAGTTCTTTGCCATGAGGTGCCATGTTGAACTTCCAGTGACCAGTATGAGGGAGTGTGAGAGTGATGACACCAAATTTAACACACCTGTTCCCCATTCACACCTGAGACCTTGTAAAACGAATGTGTCACATGACACCTGGGAGGGAAAATGGCTAATTGGGCCCAATTTGGACATTTTCACTTAGGGGTGTACTCACTTTTGTTGCCAGCGATTTAGACATTAATGGCTGTGTGTTGAGTTATTTTAAGGGGACAGCAAATGTACACTGTTATACAAGCTGTACACTCACTACTTTACATTGTAGCAAAGTGTAATTTCTTCAGTGTTGTCACATGAAAAGATATACTCAAATATTTACAAAAATGTGAGGGGTGTACTTACTTTTGTGAGATACCGTATATGTGAAAATGAACATACCAAAATGAACTGCAAAGCACTGGGTATTATTATTATTGGCCTTGTTTTGCAATTGTACATTTTTGCATATACATTTATATTTAGTTAATTTACCAGATGCTCAAACCATAGTGCCATCAGAATTATGATACCAATGCAGGGTGAAACAGGTCACAAAATTGTGAACCGCTATAGAAAATGGTATATAAAAGTATTTTGTATTTTGAAAATAAAAATTACAGCTCTATAAATTATCTTGTAACAAAATACAATGGAGTGTAGTTCAGCCCAGTGTAATACAAATTACAAAATACTCAGAAGTAATTGAAATACATATTTCAAATACATGTAACAGAAATACTGCCCTTGTCTGGTCGTGCTCAACCTGGTCATGTCCATGAGCCAGCGCTGAGGCTGTGTTTGGGAATGGAGTGGGAGAGGAGGTCCGCCACGGCGTTGTTACGCCCTGGTGTGAACTGGAGGCGGAAGTTTTAATGTAGTTTATGAAAGTTCAATCAGGAAGGCTGGTCTGAAGGCTTGTTTAACTTCATCCAGGAAGCATAACATTCTTCACTTCGTTTCCTATTATACAGCATAGTGAGAATGAATACAAACGTATCATCATCAGCATTGCGTCTTGTTTCTTCTCCTCTTTCCTGTTAGCTATGTGCGGAATGTGCACAATAATGCACATTCCTCACACTTGCTGTTCAACCTATGGGCTCACTCTTGTAATTATCACCTTCCTCTCTCTCAACCAATGAGCGTAAATCTTGGGATGTATTTATATGTAAACTTACCCATGTTCTCTCACTTGCTGTTTTTCAGCAACAGTTTTCAGACAATGGTCTCTGCTTTCCGTGTTTTAGTCACGTCAGATGCTGAAATCTCCCCTGAGGGAGAGGATATGTCCCTTGTTCCAGCGATCGATACATCCCCACTCACAGGTGAACCAGAGGATTCCTTCACGACTAGGTTTTCCCCGAGAAGCAGTGAGAGAATCGCCATTAGGCAATTGGCCCATTTTCCAACGCTCAACTTCTGGGAATCCTGGCCTAAAAGGGAATCACAGTGATTCCAGGCATTTCCAACCATGAGTTCCTCCAACTCGCTACGAATGTGCTTGGCTCATCTCTACAACTCCCAGACGAGGGCATCCCTTTCCCGGGAGAAGAGGTTGTTTCTCTCAGTGGGAAGAAAAGGCTCCAGAAATCAGCTTCGCCAACAGAGGGGAAAATTCCAAGACGCAAGGCTATTGGCGTCTCTGACAAGGCTGATCCTTCTTCCTCTGCGCCCTACGCCGCCGCTGCGGCCACCTCCACCGCCTCCACCCGGGCCCCTCTCGCTGGCTACAGCGTATCCCTTTCATTGCAGAGTTTGTGGTAGCATTGAACAATGCCACAACGTTTTTGCTTCATGTTTACCCCCAGGAGAAGAAAGCTTGATAAATTGTCTAAGATTTGTGGCTGTGGTTAGCTGTCATCCCACATTGATATATAGCTATCAGATCTGGTTGGATTTATTGTAAATGCTCATTTTACGCATTGTCTCTTGAGGCTATTGATGCGGAACACTCAACAGGCTTTCTTTACATACAGGATTCACATTCACTATCATTAATATTTACTACACTCTTAGAAAAAAAGGTGCTAAGTAGAACCATACAGGGTTCTTCGGTTGTCCCCCTAGGTGAACCCTTTTTGGTGCTGGGTAGGACCCTTTGCAGAGGGTTCTATCTAGAGCCCTCTATGTAGGGTTCTTCAAAGAACCCCATGTACACTGAGTGTACAAAACGTTACATAGACTGACCAGGTGAATCCAGGTGAACGCTGTGATCCCTTATTGATGTCACTTGTTAAATCCACTTCAATCAGTGTAGATGAAGGGGAGGAGACAGGTTAAAGAAGGATTTTTAAGCCTTGAGACAATTGAGACATGGATTGTGTATGTGTGCCATTCAGGGCAAGACAAAATATTTAAGTGCCTTTGAACGGGGTATGGTATTAGGTGCCAGGCGCACCGGTTTGTGTCAAGAACTCAAATCAAATCAAATCAAATCAAATTTTATTGGTCACATGCGCCGAATACAACAGGTGCAGACATTACAGTGAAATGCTTACTTACAGCCCTTAACCAACAGTGCATTTATTTTAAACAAAAAAGTAAGAATAAAACAACAACAAAAAAGTGTTGAGAAAAAAAGAGCAGAAGTAAAAATAAAGTGACAGTAGGGAGGCTATATATACAATAGAATAAAGTGACAGTAGGGAGGCTATATATACAGGGGGGTACCGTTGCATAGTCAATGTGCGGGGGCACCGGCTAGTTGAGGTAGTTGAGTTAATATGTACATGTGGGTAGAGTTAAAGTGACTATGCATAAATACTTAACAGAGTAGCAGCAGCGTAAAAAGGATGGGGTGGGGGGGCAATGCAAATAGTCCGGGTAGCCATGATTAGCTGTTCAGGAGTCTTATGGCTTGGGGGTAGAAGCTGTTGAGAAGTCTTTTGGACCTAGACTTGGCACTCCGGTACCGCTTGCCGTGCGGTAGCAAAGAGAACAGTCTATGACTAGGGTGACTGGAGTCTTTGACAATTTTGAGGGCCTTCCTCTGACACCGCCTGGTATAGAGGTCCTGGATGGAAGGGAGCTTTGCCCCAGTGATGTACTGGGCCGTACGCACTACCCTCTGTAGTGCCTTGCGGTCAGAGGCCAAGCAGTTGCCATACCAGGCGGTGATGCAACCAGTCAGGATGCTCTCGATGGTGCAGCTGTAGAATTTTTTGAGGATCTGAGGACCCATGCCAAATCTTTTTAGTCTCCTGAGGGGGAATAGGCTTTGTCGTGCCCTCTTCACGACTGTCTTGGTGTGTTTGGACCATGATAGTTCGTTGGTGATGTGGACACCAAGGAACTTGAAGCTCTCAACCTGTTCCACTACAGCCCCGTCGATGAGAATGGGGGCGTGCTCAGTCCTCTTTTTTTTCCTGTAGTCCACAATCATCTCCTTTGTCTTGGTCACGTTGAGGGAGAGGTTGTTGTCCTGGCACCACACGGCCAGATCTCTGACCTCCTCCCTATAGGCTGTCTCATCGTTGTCGGTGATCAGGCCTACCACTGTTGTGTCGTCGGCAAACTTAATGATGGTGTTGGAGTCGTGCCTGGCCATGCAGTCATGGGTGAACAGAGAGTACAGGAGGGGACTGAGCACGCACCCCTGAGGGGCCCCCGTGTTGAGGATCAGTGTGGCAGATGTGTTGTTACCTACCCTTACCACCTGGGGGCGGCCCGTCAGGAAGTCCAGGATCCAGTTGCAGAGGGAGGTGTTTAGTCCCAGGATCCTTAGCTTAGTGATGAGCTTTGAGGGCACTATGGTGTGCAACGCTGCTGGGTTTTTCAGGCTCAAAAGTTTCCCGTATGTATCAACAATGGTCCACCACCCAAAGGACATTCAGCCAACTTGACACAACTGTGGAAAGCATTGGAGTCAACATGGGCCAGCATCCCTGTGGCACGCTTTTCGACACCTTGTAGATTCCATGGCCCGATGAATTGAGGCTGTTCTGAGGACAAAATGGGAGGTGCAACTCAATATTAGGAAGGTATTCCTAATGTTTTGTACACTACTTTTCTTGTTAAGTTATCTCTGCCATATTCACAATGTTTTGTACACTCAGTGTATTTGGTTCTACCTAGAACCCTCGCAAAGCAGTGTACTTCGAAGCAGTGTGCCGATGCCTGTATCACTTTAACAGAAGCACGTGATCAATTATATCCAAAGCTGTGTTTCGTAGAACAACCACTTGATTGGTTTGGTATTGGTTTGGTAGAAGACAAAAAGGCAATGCTGCACACGCGCTACGGGGTGCGGGACATAGTTTATAATAATTTGGCTGCTCTAGATGATTTTGACCAGCAGGTGCCACTAGTCTACACTTCGTTGATCAAAGCCTCACGTAATGAACCTATTTTCGACACAATTGGCTTGAAAACCTCAATGCTTCATGTAGCTTTGTTTCCCCATCAGTAGTTTACAGGCCACATCAGGCCTGCAAATCACATTATGCTGGCTTGCAAAGTAATCGGTAATTCCTATTGGAATCCAGACAGAGTTAGGATATCCAACAAGTGGAATTGTTAATCACCCGCAACCTGCATTCAGAATGACTGCCAGGGTAGGAAAGACTGACTACTGAGACTTTCTCAATCATTTAAACTGGAACAACCAATTTCAGTAACGGGTGCAATAAATCCAACAGATTGGATTAGTTTTGAAAACTGTATGTTATTTATTTTTGTGTAAATGCAAAAACACAGATATTACAGTAAAACAAACAATTCTGAAAATCTCCCTGCAATAGAGCATGTTGGGAAACATGATATATGGTTCTATGTAGAACCCTTTTTGCCTTCCAAAGAATCCTTCTTGCCTTCCAAATAATCATCAAAGAACCCTTTGATTATTCTAGATAACAGTTCTAGATAGAAAGGGCCCTTTGCTTTATGAAGAACCCTTGCCTCCTAAAAAGGGTTCTTCTGATCTAAATAGTTATTGGTAGATCCCTTTTTTCTAAGAGTGTATGGCTGTTTGCTAAACAATATGTTGTCTTGTGTTATACACTTTATTTTGCAGGGAGCGCACAGAGTTATTTCCAAATATAGCTCTCCTCTGCAGGGACAAGGGCGCATATACAGTGGGGGAAAAAAGTATTTAGTCAGCCACCAACTGTGCAAGTTCTCCCACTTAAAAAGATGAGAGAGGCCTGTAATTTTCATCATAGGTACACGTCAACTATGACAGACAAAATGAGATTTTTTTTCTCCAGAAAATCACTTTGTAGGATTTTTAATGAATTTATTTGCAAATTATGGTGGAAAATAAGTATTTGGTCACCTACAAACAAGCAAGATTTCTGGCTCTCACAGACCTGTAACTTCTTCTTTAAGAGGCTCCTCTGTCCTCCACTCGTTACCTGTATTAATGGCACCTGTTTGAACTTGTTATCAGCATAAAAGACACCTGTCCACAACCTCAAACAGTCATACTCCAAACTCCACTACGGCCAAGACCAAAGAGCTGTCAAAGGACACCAGAAACAAAATTGTAGACCTGCACCAGGCTGGGAAGACTGAATCTGCAATAGGTAAGCAGCTTGGTTTGAAGAAATCAACTGTGGGAGCAATTATTAGGAAATGGAAGACATACAAGGCCACTGATAATCTCCCTCGATTTGGGGCTCCACGCAAGATCTCACCCCGTGGGGTCAAAATGATCACAAGAACGGTGAGCAAAAATCCCAGAACCACACGGGGGGACCTAGTGAATGACCTGCAGAGAGCTGGGACCAAAGTAACAAAGCCTACCATCAGTAACACACTACGCCGCCAGGGACTCAAATCCTACAGTGCCAGACGTGTCCCCCTGCTTAAGCCAGGCCCGTCTGAAGTTTGCTAGAGTGCATTTGGATGATCCAGAAGAGGATTGGGAGAATGTCATATGGTCAGATGAAACCAAAATATAACTTTTTGGTAAAAACTCAACTCGTCGTGTTTGGAGGACAAAGAATGCTGAGTTGCATCCAAAGGACACCATACCTACTGTGAAGCATGGGGGTGGAAACATCATGCTTTGGGGCTGTTTTTCTGCAAAGGGACCAGGTCGACTGATCCGTGTAAAGGAAAGAATGAATGGGGCCATGTATCGTGAGATTTTGAGTGAAAACCTCCTTCCATCAGCAAGGGCATTGAAGATGAAACGTGGCTGGGTCTTTCAGCATGACAATGATCCCAAACACACCGCCGGGCAACGAAGGAGTGGCTTCGTAAGAAGCATTTCAAGGTCCTGGAGTGGCCTAGCCAGTCTCCAGATCTCAACCCCATAGAAAATCTTTGGAGGGAGCTGAAAGTCCGTGTTGCCCAGCGACAGCCCCAAAACATCACTGCTCTAGAGGAGATCTGCATGGAGGAATGGGCCAAAATACCAGCAACAGTGTGTGAAAACCTTGTGAAGACTTACAGAAAACGTTTGACCTGTGTCATTGCCAACAAAGTATTGAGAAACTTTTGTTATTGACCAAATACTTATTTTCCACCATAATTTGCAAATAAATTCATTAAAAATCCTACAATGTTATTTTCTGGAATTTCTTTTCTCAATTTGTCTGTTATAGTTGATGTGTACCTATGATGAAAAGTACAGGCCTCTCTCATCTTTTTAAGTGGGAGAACTTGCACAATTGGTGGCTGACTAAATACTTTTTTTCCCCACTGTAGTATATGCTACTGGTAGTGGCTCGCAAGTATAATTCATGATTAGCCTATATTTATCTAACGATATTCATCGTTACCGATTGTCACGTCATTCCTAAGTTCTGCACGCAATGCAT